AAATATTTTATTTGATAAGTTTATTTATACCGATTTGACTTGATCAAGTTTCATTCTTCATTTTTTGCTCACTGATTTATCTGCAATTTTTTTAAAAGAATGATTGATGCGCAGATCTATCGATATCACCGCTTTATTAACGACCAAATTGGAAATGTTTACTCCACATGTCGAAAACGCTGGTGTAAAGCAAGTATTGTACATGACTAAGTATGCACCCTTGGGACACACCTGGATTTATTTAGTTCACTTCTGATCATTGTTTCTAAACTTATCTTAATATCCGACTGATGCTTATTTATTGATACATCATACCTTGATACTACGTGAACTTGTCAACTTTTGTTGTTGACTGCTGTCAACCTTCGGCAAGTTAAAGCCCACCGAATAATAAAGAAAGTTGAAACATGGTCCAATGAAATAAATTAAAAAAAAACAGTGAATATACAGTTTCATTAGACTTGTTTAATATTTGAAGGCCATTTGTGAACGTTAATTCACTTCTCTAATTTTGTAACCTATTTCCAAAAATAAAACCTTAAAAATTGAAAGCATACTGTTTCAAAAGAAGAACGCATTTTCAATCAGTCTCACAATTGGCTTATTTTTACTTTATGATCGACCTTTCCCAACAGGCAACTGTCGAAACGGTAGAATTCTGTTTTTTATTAGTCCTGAATATTCTGTGCTTTGAAACTTTTGAAGTTTTTAAAGTGATTTTTTTTTAACAATAACTTTATTCGACATAAGTAATGGCATCATAGACTGGCCAATAATGAAAAATGCATGCAGTAGCGTTAACGCTAATTGAAATGAAACATGCGAGGGGGTTTCAAAACTGTGGCTGTCCTCTGATTTTTTTAAAACTAATAATTCATTTACACTGCAAGGTCAGCATGATGACTTCTTTTCAACCTTCGAAGTTTACGTGTCGGCGGCAGCTATTGGACTAAATCAGTGAAGATGATGTTCGTGTGCTCTGTTATGCGTTGATGTTTTATATACTTCTTGCACCACTTCGGCGTCGTATGGCATACGTAGATCATGGTGAAGTACAGTAGAAGTATCTAATTCGTGATGATCCGCAAATTTGACTTTTGTCGACATGGAGTCTGTTTAGTTCTGAGTCACTTTTAGACCCCAAGGTGACTCATACTGCCAAATGTGACGAAGAAGTGATAGGTATTACAACCTTTTGTTGAAGAGTGAAAGTGAAGAAACTTGCAGAACGGGCTTTAAAAGTCGGGTTTACCCTAAAAATCGTTTAATCAGATTACTGACGTGTTTTAAGTTAATCTTTTATCGAGTGTGACGCCTAAGTATTTGACGGTATCTACTTCAGGTACCCGAGCTGCATCCATGTCTACTGGAACTCTTTCAAATCTTCTGCGATAGGTGAATTGGCTCAAATAGCCTACTCAGATAACAAGGAGCAATTAAGGCCTCGAGGGGAGCTTCAGCCAGACAGAACTTTGGGGATGCCGACCATATCTGGTTTAAAGATGGCTCCACAACCGAATCAAGAGTTGGCATTTATGGAAATAAACCGAGGAGTAGAATTCATATAACCCTTGGACAATATATCACCGTCTTTCAAGCGGAACCGTGGCTATTGAACACTGTGCCAGGAGATAAAAAGGTTGAGGATTGTCAATAGAAGAATAGCCATGTACTAGGATAGACAGTCGGCACTGAAGGCCATTGCCGTATCCATAGTCATTTGGGACTGAATTAGCTCTTGTCGGACAATCGATTAATAATAAGTCATCCGTAAAATTCAAGCCCGGGTCAGAGACATGCGGAAAGGTTTATCAAAGGACCATCGCAGAACTAATAAATCTAGGATGTGCTTGGAATAGAACAATGTTTGGACTGCTAACTGCACACTGCAGATTCCGGAGGCATATATAGCCTGTGGAGTGGCAGAAACAAGCCTGTGCAGATATTGCCAAAAAAGAAGAAACATTGGAACACGTCCAGTATTGGTGCAAGGCCTATATAGGCTGAGAATCCTAATCATGGGAAAGGAAAAGCCAGAGGTCACTGGAGCCCTTAAAAAAGCTTTGGGGCCTGGTAAAAAGCCCTAAGCTTAATGAGGAGCTCTAGATAAAACATGGAGATGCACAATAGACCAATACTAGTTGCGGTGCAAAGGTCGTACAGAGGCCGGCTCCTATGTAATCTAATGGTAACCTTTTGGGGATTTACATTCCCAACGCTATTTTTAATTCCAGTCTACCGTTTTGTTAGCATGATTTTGATTAGACCATTTTTGCCTGTACTTAGCATAGCAAGATCATATGCAAACATGGCAGTCTTTGTCAAGATAGATCTGGGGATGTCATGGACATAGCAGTAAAGAAAAGGCACCCAGGCGCTTCCCTGAGAACCCCAGCTGGAATATATCTTATTATCTTAAGTGACGCCGGCTTGGGTAATGCAATTGTATTGGTCAGATATTATTTCATAGGACGGTGATAGGAGTCTGGCAGCTCCTTAATTTTGAATAAAAGTTCAGAATGCCAGTCCTTATCGAAGGACTTCTGCGTGTCGACAATTAGAACTAGAACAGATTTAAATTGATCAAACGAGACAATAGTAGGCTGGCTAGTGCTATAAACAGAGAAAGGCATGGCATTTATTAGGCTAATTTTCTAGGGATAAAAGTGATCTGTTCGCAGTATTTTTGCTGCATAACTTTAACAGCCCTGGCATCTGGGCTGACCTGAAAATGAACACCATTCATGTGTAGCAGTATAAATCTTCATACCGTTGAAACGTCTGCACCACAAAGGCTACTTCAACACCTCCTTCAGAAGATTTTCACTTTGCACCTTTATTGTCATCAGTCGACTACGATTTTTAACGGCAAAAGATCTTGGTGACAGATAGTCAACAGGTAACATTGATATTATGCAGAAAACATTGATTAATTGATAAATGATTTAGGCTCATTTTATGTATAATGACCTGTTTTTATGTTAGGAAATATTTACTATATTTTCATTTGTAATTTTATTTTCCTTCTCTGTGATACCTCCGTGTATTTTGGCTCTTCCAAATCTTTCTATTCCTGCTGGGTTTTTTGACAATTTTAGCCATTTTCTGCTCCAAAGGTTTGACTGTGCGTTTTTATTCTGTTGTGTCTGTATATTGATTACATAATCATACAGTAAATTTTTGTTAAATGGATTTGAATGTGGTCATCGTTAACCGACCAGTAATTTCTTAAAGGAGTTCGAGGTTACAGCCGTGACAGACCCTGCTTAGTTAGCTCCTTTTTGACAGGGCAATAATAACATCGAACAATGATAAGCTATTAGACAGATAATAATTTATTAAATGCCATCGAGTCTTCGTTGAGGTGGATTTTGTGTCAGTTGATGAGAGGTCATCGTGGAGTGCAGACGTTAACAGATAATCAGTAGTCGTTCACCTACTTCCCAAACTTATTTGATCCAGTACAGTGCAAAATTCCTAATGTACTAAGTTACTCTGTTTTGGAATATGTACACTCGTCTTTTTTGGCAATTTGAGGCCAGTGTATGACGCAAAATTAGAAGGATGACATTGAGGTACGTCAGTCTTTTGCCTCTTAACTCGTCCAGTCTTGAAACATGGGCTTGCCGACTATTAACCCAGTCATATCTGAGAGTACATCTGTCTTCATGGGTCAAAATGCTTAAATTTCTAGCTTATATGCTCTTATCATTAGTTAAAGTTAGCAATACTTCCAGAGAGTTATGAAATGAACCTTTGGGCTGAAAACTGGGCAGTTGTTGCCAGTTAAAAGGATGAGTAAATGGACAATTGGTATTGGTTTTACCGTGTTCAGGCTCTGGCTAACTGATAACAGATAAGGGTATAATAGAGGTTGTACAGTTTTTAAATCAGTTGGGGGGAGGAGGCTGATATCCATAAACGAGAAACAGCTCACGGTATACTAATTTATTGTCAAAAGAATCTAAAGTCTCTTCCATAATAAGTCCTGAACTTAGATTGTAGGGTTGTCTAAAATATACTTTCTAAAACGAAACGTACTATTAATAAATGGAAAGAGTTGGCCAGTAGCTGGTCGTTTCAGCCTTTTCTTTCCTTGTTTGGAGATCATCTTCATGGCATATTTTCACTTGAGTGTGAATTGTTGTCCATCAGTTCTCTGGTGTTACTTGTGTTGTGTTCATACATTACAAAGTTATCACGTGTTATTTGCTAACTTGTTAGTTCAAATTTCTCTCAATTGTATAGTGTCGAGAGTGCCGATTGTCTTATCCTAGGACTCCTTATGTCTATCCTAGGACTTTTCTTCGTAGCCAGTAATTGATCCATTTTTTTTCTGCAAGTCTGTCCAATTTGCCAATTGCCCTAAGTTCGTTGATTGTTGAATTTACAGTTTTTGTCGACTCCGGTCAATGTTTTGTAGATTTTCTATCATTTATTGTATTCGTACGTTAGTTTTGTTGTGTTTAATTGACTTATTTCAGAAACCGAAGTTGAATATTTAGCATGCTTTAAAAGCCGTTTCGAGTAACGTCTGCGTTCCGACATTCACAACATGACTAAGTTGTCAATCTTTCCGGTTCAATTTTTTCGTGTTCAAATTGTTTGTGATGCGTAGTTGGACTTTTCCTCATTGCCTGTAAAGGATTTTTGTTCGTCTTTCTACTTATCTACGTGCAAATGCATATTGCCTACTTTCATGGGTTATTAAATTTATATAGTTTCTGTCAAGTACTGTCAATGTTTTGTTGGTTTTTCGATCAAGTAATGATGTGTGTGGAGTATTATCGATTTCAGTAAAAACAACTCTTTGGCAAAGTTTAAGACTTAGATATTCGCTTTCATCCCTTCAGTAATTTCAATAGTTTAAGTAGGTGATAAAACGAAAATTTGACTTATCGTCTCTATAAGGAAATTAATAAGTTCTTGTAGTCATATATTGTTTTTTAAATAATTTATTTAAATTAATTATTTACAAGAGGATTCAAAAGGTATCGGGCTGGTTGAGAAGTTGTCAAGGAGACATTTAGTGGACGAGGGCGGAGTATCCGAGTCCGTGTCCGTATCCGTATCCGAGACCGTGTCCGTATCCGTATCCGAGGGTACGTCCGTATCCGAGACCGTATCCGTAAGATACAGGGGCGGCGTGGGCGACTCCGACGGCGGCGACTGGAGCGGCGTGAGCGACGGCGACGGGAGCGTGAGCGACTCCGACGGTGGCGACGGGAGCGGCGTGAGCGACGGCGACGGGAGCGGCGTAAGCAGCGACTACGGGCTTGTTAACGGTCCTGTAGGTGTTGGCGTAGGAGGTGGCGACTGGGGCAGCGTGAGCGACGGCGACGGGGGCGGGGGCGGCGTAGGCGACGGGGGCGGCTACGGCATGGGAAGCGTAGGCGACCGGGGCGGCTACGGCATGGGAGGCGTAGGCGACCGGGGCGGCGGCGACGGTGTGGGAAGCGTAGCCGTAGCTAGCTCCGTAAGCCACGGGGGCGGCGACGGGAGCAGCTCCCAAGTAGCCAGCTGAGACAGCGGCGAAGAAGAGGGGAAGAAGAGCCTGGAAAAAGGCAGCTATTATAAATCTGAAGATCCAGTGATCAAATTGAAAAACAAAGCAAAAACAAATTGATTTATCCTATACAATTAAACAGTATTGTATATGATTCATATACTTATATACTTTTTCCTAAATTTTTTACATTGATAATGAAGATATTATCCACTCTATTATCTGTGTGCTATGTCATCGTATTGCATATATCCAATTGCAGTTTAAAGCAGTACGACTTACCAACTTGTACATGTTTGCTGTTTGTATTCTGCTGATACAATGTCTACTGAACCACCCCGGCGCCTTTATATACATAACATCCCCCACTTCGGCCGCCACTCCCTGGATAACTCGGTCGCACAAGTCGCCGAGGGTTTGGATCCACGAAGTTACGAAACGCGCTCTCATTTCTTCAGAGATACCCCTTGACGGCTCAATCGTCAACTTCACCTTTCGTGTCCTTGAATTCTTAATTCGCAACCCACCGCAATGAAGTTGTACAAAGACGACGGAGGAGGAAAAAGTCGAAACCTCGAAAATTATGGCAAGTGAGGTTAAAACAATTTGACCACCTTAATTTCATTCTAAAATTCCTTACAAGCTATCATCGTATTAAACATTTTACGTTCGAGTTGTGTAATGAACCTATTTAATAAAGTAATAACAAGTCTTCTTTACGTATTTTATTTTAAGTAAAATCCAGTGCTTGTACCACGACTTGGATGCAGATCTCCAGGGCTCAGTGAAAGATTAATATAGTTTTTTAACATATGTTCCTTTCATAAACTTAAAAACAAGGCGCGATTGAAGAAATAGGCGTGTTTTCTTAAGGAAAACAGAAAAATGGAGGGTTTGAAATATTTTTTGCTGATAAGTTGATTCGAGAAATTTATTTAGAGATGTTGAGATCGCCAAGACGCATCGAAAGCAACCTGTACAACTTGAAACTGACGGTGAAACAGCTTCTCAAGAGCTCGAAGAGATGTTCCAAGCTGGAAACCGAGGAGGTACAGATGACGAGGCAGGCGATGAAGAAGGGCCACGTCGAAGAAGCCCGGATCCACGCCGAGAACGCAATCCGGCAGAGGACCCAGGCGCAAAACTATCTGCGGATGAGCGCGAGGGTGGACTCGGTCATCTGTAAGATAGAAAGCGCCATGCTCTCCGGCCGTGTGACCAACTCGATGAACAAGGTGGTCAAGTCGATGCACGTCGCCCTCCAGTCGATGGACCTCATCAAGATATCGAACGTCATGGAGAAGTTCGAAAGGCAGTTCGAGAACCTGGACGTGCAGGCGAGCTTCCTCGAGGATGCCATGCACAGCACCGCTGCCTCCTCGATACCCATATCCGAAGTGAACAAGCTTCTCCAGCAAGTTGTCGACGAGACTGGGCTAGAGGTGAATCTCCAGTTGCCTCAACCTGGCACGAGCGTTGAGGCACCAGAGACCATCAACGATACGGAACTCATACACAGACTGGAAAACCTTAAACACATCAAATAAAAACCCTAAGTTTTGATAAATTGACACAATAAAGAAAACATGTGATATAACAGCTTATAGTTACATTTTTTTGTTGGCAGTAATAAAGTGGGTCACCAGGTTCGCCTTCAGCTGCTGCCGAATTTCATATTGATTACAGTTTAATTAATGGCGTAATCATGTTTCTACATAAAATAAGCTCGAATTGTTGAGATACTAAAAATATTCAGACTGCACTTTCAATTTATAACTAACAAAAATCTCGTGATACAAATTCCTTTCGATTCTTTCTTTGATATGTATATTTTATTCAAATTGTCCAGTATACTTATATACTTAAATTTTTACTTTATTTATTATATATGTTCTTGAGCTCCACTAAGATTTTGGAATGGCTTCTCTAACATTTTTCTATTTCGATTGAAACCATTACATAGTTAAAAGTTATATATTTATATTAGATTAGTTGGGATTTGTTTAGATGGCTAAAAAGTCTTTTTTCTGTTGAAATCGCGAATGGGTAAACTGGGCGAGAAGCCCAACAGTGTGAAGAATTTTTTTTCTATTTTCTGTTGAAAACATTTCAATGTTAAAAGTTATGTATTTAGAATAGATTAGTTGGAATTTTTTAGATGGCTAAAAAGTATTTTGCATTTTATCAAGCTATTCATTTTTTTTCTTTTGAAATCGCAAATTGGTAAACTGGGTGAGAAGCCCAACAGTGTGAAGATGTTTTTCTATTTTGGGTTGAAACCATTACATAGTTAAAAGTTATTTTTTTAGATTAGATTAGTTGGGATTTTTTTAGGTGGCTAAACAGTCTTTTTCTCTGTTGAAATCGCGAATGGGTAAACTGGGCGAGAAGCCCAACAGTTTGAAGATTTTTTGTTGAAAACATTACATTGTTAAAAGTTACGTATTTAGAATAGATTAGTTGGAATTTTTTAGATGGCTAAAAAGTATTTTGCACATTTTATCAAGCTATTCATTTTTTTTTCTGCTGAAATCGCAAATTGATAAACTGGGCGAGAAGCCCAACAGTGTGAAGATGTTTTTCTATTTTTTGTTGAAACCATTACATAGTTAAAAGTTATTTTTTTAGATTAGATTAGTTGGGATTTTTTTAGGTGGCTAAACAATCTTTTTCTCTGTTGAAATCGCGAATGGGTAAAGTGGGCGAGAAGCCCAACAGTTTGAAGATTTTTCTTTTTTTTGTTGAAAACATTACATTGTTAAAAGATATTTTTAGATTATATTAGTTGGAATTTTTTAGATGGCTAAAAATTCCTTTGAATTTACTCCAGCGATGCATTTATTTGCATCTGCATTTTTTCTGTTGAAATCGCAAATGGGTAAACTGGGCGAGAAGCCCAACTGTTTGAAGATTTCAGTTAATTAAGGTTTTAAATTGAGATAAAAAGTATTGAGATAAAAAAATCAGTGTCACGAGCGGGATTCGAACCCTCGACCTTCGGCTAGATTCGCCGCTACTCTACCACTTGAGCTATCCACTCGTACACTAACTTCCCATCTCAACCCCACCTTTTGAATTTTCCCTCCTTTTTGCCATTTTTCGCTCGTGACACTGACTTTTTATCTCAACCAAAAATCCTTAATTAATTGAAAGGTATTAATCGGACCACGAAAACTAGTGAGTTTGAAGATTTTTTTTTCTATTTCTGTTGATACCATTGCTTGGTTAAAATGCCTGAAAACACTTTCTCAGCCATTTTTCCATTTATTTTGTCCTATTCATCTATTGAAGTTTGCCTAAATATTTCATTTGATTTTACCAAACCACGTGAGAAACTCAACAGTTCGACGATTTGGCTATTTCGGATTGAAATCGTCGAACGGTTAAAAAGCGAGAGAAGACCGGCAATTCGTTGAATAAGAAACAATTACATGGGTAGACTGCGTGAGAAGCTCCAAATATAAAATCATGTGCCATAGTCAAAACTTTCTCAACCAGTTTTTATTAGTTTTTATCTAACCGCGTGAGAAATTTGGTAGTTCGATGATTTCAGGTTAAGGCGGTGTTGATGAAATGGAGGGAGCATCATTATTTATTAACTGTACTATATATACTACTAACATTATTTATAACTAATAAATTATTGATTGAAATAAGAGTATTCAACCGCGCCACATATACATATTTTCAACCTTAGTTTCTCAAAAGGTAAATTCCCATCACATTTTAAGAAAGCAATGGTTATTCCACTGTTTAAAGCGGGAGACAATCAATTAATAGGCAACTACAGACCGATATCATTAACTCTTTCCCTGCCCAAAATTCTAGAAAAGTATGCCAAAAAGCGTATGCTTACTTTCGTAGACATGTACATATGCGAAAACTTAGATAACAAGAAATACGTCATAGGGCATATTTTTGGACATCCAAAAAGCGTTTGACTCTATCAGCCATGAATTGTTATTAAAAAAACTAGACATCTATGGCAACCATGAGACCCCCTTAAGTTCTTTTGAAACATATTAACTTACAGACAGCAATTTGTAAAAGTAAATAACGCTTATAGCGAAACAGAATACGTAAACTTGGAGTACCACATGGGACAGTGTTAGGACCATTGCTCTTCATTTTGTACTTCAATAATATTTATGCTTTAATATTAATGGCATGCCTTTTTGTTTTGCCGATGACAATTGCTTTATTAATTTATTAAATATTGTTTCGAATAGTTTTAAAATAATTAAAGAATGGATGAACACTAACTTATTATTAATCAATATAAATAAAATCTCTCTGATGTCCTTTTGCACTAGTTACAATCACCTACATCTTATCCAAATTTCACTCTTCACAAAAATGAATTGTGAGTGTCCAGTAGTAACTTTTACTACTACATGTAAATATTTACGAATTTGGTTCGATTGCAATATGAAATTTAAAATGCATATAGAAACTCTCACCAAACGTATTCGTTAATTATTTTATAAATTCGAAATATTGAGAAATATTCTTGGTTTTCACACTCTAAAAATTGTATATTTTGCATTATGTCAATAATTACTTCAATATGGTGTGATAGTATGGGGCAATACCAGTAAAAAAAAAAACTATTACATATGTCCATTGGGTTAATTAATCTTTAAGTATGGTATTGGTTGAGATAAAAAAGTCAGTGTCACGAGCGGGATTCGAACCCGCGACCTTCGGCTAAATACGCCGCTGCTCTACCACTTGAGCTATCGTGCCTTCGATCCACTCGGACACCAACCGCCCATCTCAACCTAAAACCTTTCGAATTTTCCCTCCTTTTTTGCCATTTTTCATCAAGACCTTATAAAAAACAGAATAATTAATGAAGTGGTAGAGCAGCGGCGTATTTAGCCGAAGGTCATGGGTTCGAATCCCACCTGTAATTATACTAAATGTGCATCCAAGATTTAGTCCTGAAGAATTGTTCCAAAAATTTGATGTCTTTAATGTAAAAAAAACTTTTTGTATTTGGCGCATGCATTCATACATTTAAAGTTAAAACACATAGCTATAATTTACATGTGTAACCTACTCGTTCGTCTAAAAAATCAAAAATTGTCTTGCCTAAAATTAATGCGTGGTGATTAGTGACCGTAAGTCTATGATTATTTGGAAATCGTGAGATGCGGTCTGATTTGACGAAAGTTTCAGAAAAACATTTTTCTTTATCGTGCCAACGTACGTGCCTTTTTGTTGAAATGCAGACAACACAAGGCCCTGAAGATGATTTCAATAAAGATCGAAACGTTGGCACGATAAAGAAAATGTTTTTCTGAAACCTCCGTCACATCAGACCGCATCTCACGATTTCCAAATAATCCTAAAATTAATTCTGAACTTTTTGCCACTATTGTTAGTTTAAAAACTGTACTTCAATTTAAATTCAATTTTTATGATTTTATTAATGTTAATAAACTCACACGACTCTCAACACGACAGACAAGAATGACACATCTACACGGAAAACGAACTTTTGACCCTGAAGATGATCTCAATAAAGATCGAAACGTTGGCATGATGAAGAAAATGTTTTTCTAAAACCTACGTCACACCAGACCGCATCTCACGATCTCCGAATAATAAATGTTAAAAAATTTAAATTTTTTAAAAATAAAGTGCGTCATTTGTAATATTTAAAATTCTTCTCTTATTGTTAAAATATGTAAAAATTTTTGTTGTTCAAATCATCAATTTGTAGAAGTGTGCACTATAAATTATTATCTGCTCATATCATAACCTCACGTAAAAATATCGTTTTGCTTAATATAATGTAACTCTAACCAGTTCCAACCAGAGGGTTAGAGGGTACAGAGGTACTAGAATATTCTTATTTAGGGTTGGCATATGAAATACCTATTTTTGTTGTTTTTTCTCTCTTTTTTTATTCTCTGTTAACTGTATCTCTTATTCAAATAAATTTTCAATATACCTATCAATATGATTTTTAACGTTATTTTCCTTATATTTCAAGTAATCCATGGAAAAAGTATTGTATATTAGGCCAGGATATTAGAATTATACAGGTTTTATCTACAGTAACCTTTATATTTACCTTGTACCAAGTAATGTCGAAATTAGAAGGAAAAGTCATAGACTCATGGGCATAATACATAAACTGAATTGAATGCAGTTTTAAAAGCTTTTTAATTAAATTTACATTAACTGATGCACGTTATGTACAGAGTGTATCGACTGTTTAGTGGAGGAGGGTAGAGTATCCGAGTCCAGCGCCGTATCCGAGGTACCTGTTGTATCCGAGTCCGTATCCGGTTCCGTAACCGTATCCGAGGCCGTATCCGCTACCGTAACCGTAACCGACACCGTATGTGACGGGAGCGTGAGCGACTCCGACTGTGGCGACGGCCGGGGCGTGAGCGACGGTGGTCACTGGGGCGGCGGCGACGGTTGTGACTGGAGTGGCGACAGCGGTGGTGACGGCGGGTGCGTAAGCGGTGACTACGGGCTTGTTGACCGTCCTGTACGTGTTAGAGTATGAAGTGGCGACTGGGGCGGCGACGGCGGCGACCGGGGCGTGAGCGACAGCTACTGGGGCGTGAGCGACTGCCACTGGGGTGGCGTGTGCGGCGTATCCGTAGGTGGCACCGTAGCCGTACAAAGCAGGGGCGCTGTAAGAGCTGTAGGCCAACGGGGTGCCGAGGTAGCCAGCCGAGACGGCGGCGAAGAAAAGAGGAAGAACGGCCTGATAACATAAAATTACAATTACAAAGATCACATAACAGCTTATTCTAAAGCCATTTTTTTAACACAAATATCTGTAAATCAACATAGTTCTCACTCGTCTCCTTCAATATATTACATATGCTTTTCAATTAATCAATCTTTAATTAAGGTTTTGGTAGAATCGAGAATGGAGAATCGAATAGATTACACGACATTTGAAAAATGGCAAAAAGGAAGGAAAATTCGAAAAGTAGGTTGAGATGGGAAGTGGTGTACGAGTGGTACGTCACGATAGCGCAAGTGGTAGAGCAGCGGCGTATTTAGCCGAAGGTCGTGGGTTCGAATCCCGCTCGTGACACTGACTTTTTTATCTCGACCAAAACCTTAATTAAACATTAATTAATTGAAGAGAATTTATATGGTTAATCGGACCACGAAACCTAATAGATATTATATATTGTTAAGCTGTTCAATGGTTGTAAATAAAGTAAAACTTCTTGAAATCAACTCCAGTTGATTGAATAGGTTGAAAATAAATTAAAAAAATTTAAAAAAGACTGCAAAATTTAAATCAAAATAATTGGTAGAAATATCATAGTTGACGATATAAAGACAGTATATAATGGACGTGTTGGGATGTTTCCACCTCACGATCATCACATACTTTTATAATTAATTATACAAAAAAAAAAACTCAAGATAAAAATTATCCATAGAACATACGTACCAACTTGTACATGTCGATAATCTTGTGAAACTTTTGGTGTGTCACAAATGAATGCTTATGTGGATATTTGACGATTCTTTTATAGGAGGCCCGTTCACCCCCCTACCGGGTTGATTTTGGCCTTTTTTCTCTCATTTTCTCTTCCAATTCAGGAAGAACCAGTTGGATCCCGACCTTGATATATAATCGGAGACAAATAGTTCGTAGGTCAGTACCATTTAAAAAATCAGACCGGACGGGCGATGTGACATGTTGGCGGACTTGTACTTACTCGCCTTCGAGACTTTCGGGCCTCGGCTCTGAAACCCTCGGTCAAAAAAAAATCTTTCTATTGGGTTGTCCGGAAAATAATGCAGGATTTTGGTATTAAACAAAAAAAAAGAAACTAGTTACTTTAAAGCAATGTTCTTTAATCAAAATAATTTCCCATACTCTCAATACATTTCTCCCAACGTGTTGGTAACTTATTAATTCCGTCTGAGTAGAATTCAGAATTTTTAGAATTGATAAAGTCAATAAATGCATTTTCCAGTTCCGTTTGATTTTTGAATATTATGTGTTGTAAGTAGTGGTCCAGGTGTCTAAAAAAATGGTAGTCAGTAGGCGAGAGGTCCGGAGAGTAGGGTGGGTGAGGCAAAGTTTCATAGCCAAGCTCCAATAATTTTTGTGACGTTACACGTGACACATGTGGTCGAGCGTTGTCATGCAACAAAATGGGCCCTTTCCGATTGACCAAAGAGGGCTTCATTACTGCCAATTTCTGATGCATGGTATTAATTTGGTTACAGTATGATTCAGCATTGATGGTTTCGCCAGGATTTAAGAAGCTGTAGTGTATTAAACCAAATGAAGCCCACCATACCGTAACCATTACCTTTTTTTGATGAGTTGGGGGCTTTGGAAAATGTATTGGAGCTTCTCCTTTGTCGAGCCACTGTCCAGAATCCACTTTTCGTCACATGTAACAATTCTGGCCAGAAATGGGTCATTTTTGTTTCGACAAAGAAGTGATGCACAAACATCAAAGCGCTGATTTTTTTGGCGATCGTTTAATGAGTGTGGAACCCAATTTTCGAGTTTTTTCACTTTTCCAATCGCCTTGAGGTGGTCAGCGACGGTCGTTTTACTGACTTTGAGTTGCTCTGCAAGTTCTCGAACAGTTGTTTTGGGGTTTTCTTCCACCACTGATCGCAGAACATCATCATTAAGAGAGGAAGGCCTTCCACGACCTTCTTCATCTTCAAGGCTGAAATCTCCCTCCCGAAATTTTTTAAACCACCTTTGCACAGTGCACTCATTAACACAACCCTCGCCCCAGACTTGGTTAATGTTTCTAGCCGTTTGGGCTCCGCTTCGGCCGAGTTTAAACTCGTAAAAGAAAATCGTACGAAATTCTCGCTTTGACATTATAAGGATGACGGAATTATTTCCAAGTAGCGGAATGCTACAGAGGTAAACAAACAATATCATTTGGAAGAGGATTAATAAGTGTTGACATTCATACAAATGAGTAATCCTGTAAACGTAAACAGAATATTTTATATAGATTTTTTTTAATGAAAACTTAAAATCCTGCATTATTTTCCGGACAACCCAATAGTTTTTAATCATAAATGACCATAATATTATTTGCCTTTTTCCCTAGGATAATTTGTTAGTATTAGACTTTATGCCAGTAACGCCGCTTTGCCAGTTTCAACCACAACGTCATGCCATTTAGTCGATTCAACCTCTGGTCCGCGTGTTCTCGCGGTTTATCATTTCGTCCTGATTACCATACACAGGTGAAATTGTTTTGAACAAAGCTCATTTTCCTATATTCTTTAGAAATAATCAAAATTGATATGTTTACAACTTATTACTAATTATTCCTGGGAATTTTACATAATAGTGTCAAAATTATATAAAAGTTCAATGAAAGATCACACAATTCAAGCGATTTTTGTTTGGTCGTGTTCTCCTTTTCACAAACTTCCGGGTTACACGAAAATACCACGGTAAACCCGACAAGTAGAGAGATTAATACGCTAATTTTGAAAATTATCCAACAATTATTTCCACCGAATAAAGTAAACTTAGTATTCGTTCCCAGGACGTAGATATAATTCGCCAAAGATGCAGAAATCAATCAAATTCCGGCAATATCGTACTTTTTATCCTCTCACTTTCACACGCACGCACGCGTGCGCGCACACACACACATACACACACACACACACACACATACAGTCGCGAATGGAAATATCTATGTATATTTGTTTCCAACAAAATAAAGAACAACCATACTGGCGGGCTTCTCACGCACCTTAAATTTGGAAAAATGTCTAAAGGGGGGAACACAACTACCGGATGCAACGCTATGTGGCGCTACCCGATGCGACCCGACTCTTTGTCACGTTTTGGTAGGGTGTGCACATCTGTATGATGATGACGGGAGCATTTCCCACTACACCCACCCTAGCACTTGAAATTGTAACCAATACACCTCTACACATAGAGGTTAAGGTTAGAGCACTAACCAGCTGCTACAGGTTAATTAGTGAAGGCAGCTGGAACCATAAGGGAAACAATATAGGTCGCTCGAAAATTCTACACTGAGTAAGGTCAACAACCAACTACTAAGCGTTAGCGATAAAAAAGTTAAAACACCTTTAGGGAAAAAGCACTTTCAGGTAGTCACTCCCTGTGATTATAACTATAGCGCGGATGATGACCATCGTAGCCTAGACTGTTTCACCGATGGCTCACTCATTAAGGAGAAGGGAAGAGGTGCTGGAATACATAGATTAGGGATCAGCATCTCCTCCCCTCTTGGTCATAACACCTCAGTCTTTCAGGCAGAGGTCTGGGCCATCAATGTTTGCTGCAGAACACTCATGGATAACAAGATTAAGGGAAAAGATATTAGAATTTTTTCCGACAGTCAGGCCAGTCATTACAAAAAGAGTTATCAACATCTAGGCTGGTGGAGGAAACCGTTGAACTTATTAATGGGATTACTACCATGTACGAGAATAGGGTAACCCTTATTTGGATACTAGGACATAAAGGACACTGGCAATGAAGAGGCGGATAGCCTGGCCAAAGAAGGCTCTAATACTGCGTTTGTCGGGCCACAACCGGTATTACCTCACTCTATAAGCACAGCGAAAGAGAGTATTAATTGCTGGGGCATGAAACAATTCCTTAAAGAATGGAATCTGTCCCCCGGACATAGGCAATCGAAGGAGTTTCTGAAGGAAATCAAACCAAAAGAAGCGAAATGGTTATTCTCTAACTCAAGGAGAGGAATTAGGAGTCTGATAGGTATCCTAACGGGCCATTGCCCCTTGAGAAGACACCTCTTCATAATGGGTATCCTACCAGACCCCTTTTGCCGCTTCTGTGAAATAAAAGAAGAAACGGCTCGACACTACCTCGCAGAATGTGATAGGTATGCCAGGGATAGATTTGAAACTTTTGAAGGAGAGGACATCGCCAAATCACTCCCCGAGATAATATGGTCCAAAATCTTGGGGTTTGTGAACAGGTCCAAGAGGTTTATGCAGGACTCGTGAGCCGACTAAGTCCCGGACCTTTTAGGCATTTAACCTAGGGTCTTGGTCGCCCACCCTGCGTAATATATATAATGCATTATTTTGAGCAAAACCATGTAATAAATTGTTTGTTAAACTTAATTGTTTTAAATCAGGTTATTCCGGTTAAATATTATAAATTTGCGTCGGGTAGCACCGGGTAGCGTTGCATCGGGTATAGCGGGGAACACACTTACCCGAGGCAACGCTATGCGATGCTACCCGGCGCTTTACCTGAGTATACGACGTTATTATATTTTTTTTCTGAAAGTCTCCATTTTTTCAGTGTCGTCTGACCTTCTTGGCCATAGATAGATAAGATAGATCCGAAGTCAATTACCAAAACTACCAGATTCAATGATATGAAAAGATTCTCGTGCAATTTAGCAATGACGATGATCGAAATTGTTGGATTCATGGCTTGTCACGACCTTTAAATTAAATCGGAGAAAATTCTGCACAGGCTTTTTGCAAAAGTCTCCATCGAAATACAGAAAAAAAACTACTGGTGAGCTTATTCCGTAACGTGCAGAAATGTTTGACGATATACGAAAATATTCTTGCAATGCTTCTCATGCAGTTCAGTCGTTCAAAGACTAAAGAGGTTTAAAATGAATTATTGCGACAAATGGTCACACGTCCTTTTAACTAATCAAAATCAAAAGTATACAGATAGTAAAAATATGGAATAATTTGGAAAAACAAAAGTGAATCTACAAACCCCAAGTGGTAGACTGTCATATCATCCTTTCCATTGTAAAAAACCCAATTTGGGTGTTTTTTCAAGGAATTTCATGTTATATTTTTAACTTGTCGAAGTCGTGAGGAGTGGCCAAGAATGAATCAATATTCAAAATCAATATTGAAAATGGCAAAAAGAGGGAAAATTCGAACTGTTGTAGGGATGGTGAGTTGGTGTCCGAGTGGTACGTCACGTCAAGTGGTAGAGCAGCGGCGTATTTAACCAAAGGTCGTGGGTTCGAATCCCGCTCGTGACACTGACTTTTTTACCTCAACCAAGACCTTACATAAAAAAGAATAATTAATTGAAAGAAATAACTTGGTCAACTGACCACTAAAAAACGTAAATATTCAAAATGTTTGTTTTTAAATTTGTGAGTGGCTTTCTGTATGTTTTTGATGTTGGTGTTTGGTTGTGTTGGTGCGGTGTTGGTGAAGTTAAAGTTACTTTTTATGCGAATAGGAAAGTTTTGTCTACATTTTAGTAAGAAAACCCGTTGATTAATAACAGCTGCTAGTTTCTTTTCGTTTCTTGTTATATTTTTGAGTGTGACAGTGGCGTGCTGTCCATATTTGATGGTGATATCATAAAAAGCATGTTAGTTATGTTGTTCCTCCCGGGTAGAAATGTGTCTTTCTTTGTGAGCTGTTCTTTCATAATTTGTTGAAGTCGTGAGGAGTGGTCAAGAATGAATCAATATTCAAAAAGTTTGTTTTAAAAATGTGAGTGTCTTTCTGTATGTTTTTGATGTTGGTGTTTGATTGTGTTGGTGCGGCGTTTGTGAAGTTAAAGTTAATTTTTATGTGAGTAGGAAATACTTGTTTTGTCTCCATTTTAGTTAGAAAATCCATTGATTTGTAGAAAGTGCTAGTTTCTTTTGGTTTCTTGCTATGTTTTTGAGTGTGACTGTGGCTTGATGTTCATGTTTGATGGTTCGTCTTTGTGAGCTGTTATTTCATAATTTGTTTGAGTCGTGAGAAGCGTTCAAGAATGAATCGGTATTTAAAATCTTTATGTAAGGTCTTGGTTGAGATAAAAAAGTCAGTGTCACGAACGGGATTCGAACCCACGACCTTCGGTTAAATACGCCACTGCTCTACCCCTTAGCTATCGTGACGTACCACTCGGACACCAACTTCCCATCTCAACCCACCTTTTGAAGGTCGTGGGTTCGAATCCCGATCGTGACACCGACGTCGTGAGAAGTGGTCAAGAATGACACACAAAAAATACCTTTAACTTCGCAAACAGGTCACTAAGAAACACATATTATATTTTTAATTAAAATATTTCCAGTAGCATGCAACTCCTAAATAAATTTTGCTCTTCTACAGAGAAGAACGCCAAAGATTCAACTCAAATAGAAAAATCATAGAAAAACCTAAGAATCTAAAAAAAATTTATCTATTAGCTAAACGTTCTTTTCCTCACGTATTCTAATTTCAAAATTTCAACTGAAACAGGACAAAATAGAAAATTCATGCGAATAATTTAACTGTTCTGACTTCTCATATTTTGCAGTTACAATTTAAACAAAATAACAACGGCATAAATTGAAAGTTACATTAACAAATGAAATTCAGAAAACATTATGATAATGGACTAGTTTTTATAAAAAAATTTACATGGGATTTTTCGGAAGGACGTTTTACAGGCCATCAAAGCAGACTTTATCAAGGACATCTAAACAGTTCAAAATTTGACTTTATCATAATTAAATATGAAAATGTTGCCTTAAAACCCTTTGGATTGTTGGTGGTGAAACGAAACCAAGAATACCCTTTGGAGAAATAAGAAAATCATTATTAATGTACAAAACCTGTGTCACTATTTTTAAGTATAAAAACATCAAGAAAAAAGTAAATTTAGTAATATTATTTAACACTTTTCATAAGTTTGATTATCGTACGATCCCACGATAATCCTAGTAACAGAGGCGTTTACCCTGAAAACTGGTTTGTGTGTTATATGTATATTTTTTTAAAAATTTTCCTCTTTTACTTTCTAAGTTGAAAAAAAAATTCGGATTAAGAAATAACCTGGTTTTTCATTGATAAATATATAAATGTATTCGTGTGATTATGCAAATAAACAAATACGTCAATAAATTAAAAGTAAACGACTTGCTCTCCAATAAAATGTATATTTTTAGATTATTCCTATGTTGAGAAATTTTATTTAAAAACTGTTTAGCAAATTCTAAACTCTCAAATTTTCGTACATTTATTTTCTTTCGTTCTTAATCGTATTATGCATCATAATCATGGGTACAAATTGTGAGTAAATTTTGTTTTGTCCCATGTTAATATTTTTCATATTTTTCTATGTGTATCAATTGCCAGTTGATTACTTCGATTATGGATTCGCCGAGTTTCGCGTTGTACAGGCCACGTTTTAGTTGTGTATTTTTTCTGCAGATAAACAGTTTTAAGGTATACATGGAAATAATTATAATTTAAAGTATTAAGCAATGTTTATTTAATTAAAAAAAAAAACACTTTTTGATTTGATGTTGGATTAAGTGTGAATTTTAGACGTTTTAGCGTACAAGGGTGGAATATCCTCCAAGACCGTAGGTGACCCCGTAGAAGACAGGTGCGTGTGCTACGCTGACCACGGGTTTGTTCACTGTGCTGTAGCTGCTGGTGTAAGAAGTGGCGAGAGGCGCGTGAGCGACGACCGGGGCGGCGACTGCAGCGACCACAGGTTTGTTTACAGTGCTGTAGCTGCTGGTATAAGAAGTGGCGAGGGGTGCGTGAGCGACGACCGGGGTTGCGACTGCAGCGACCACAGGTTTATTTACAGTGCTGTACCTGCTGGTGTAAGAAGTGGCGAGGGGTGCGTGAGCTACAGCTACGGGCGCGTAACCGTAGTTGGCACCGTACAACGGGGCATATCCCAAAGGTGTGCCGACGAAGCTGGCCGAGGCGAAAGCAATCGAAACTAAGAAGGCGGCCTGGAATAAAAATTACACATAACTATAAAACGACATTTGTTTGCATCTCAGTTTGATATTTATTGAGCAAAACAAAAACAAAAACTGTTAGTTAAACTCTAAAATACACTGACAGGCAAAAAATTACACCCACTTGTAATATTACTTCATTTGTATATATTTATATTAATCAAAGTTTTAGATTTTTTAACGTTTAATAATTGAGTCACTGTCTAAAAAAGATTTTAAAAAAATCAAATTCCTTGACTTGAAGAAAATAAAGTAAATCAAATTCTTTGATGAAATAGGACTCACCGATGTGCCATAGGCACACAAGGGCGGATACAACAGCAATTTTAAGTAACACCTTATTTTTCAAATTTAAAATTCATGCAAAACTCTTGTTGTAGTCTAAAATAATTTCAAAACAAAAAGTTTTGCATTAAACTAATTTGTAGTCAAAAAATCCACGTAAAATTTTTGTTTTTGAGTTGTTGATACAAGATAAATGTTTTATAGACAAAACCGCAGGTTAAATTTTATCTCTGGTCTTTAGATTTGAACTAAAACAATTTAAGACAAGACAAAAACCCATAAAAAAAGGTTGTTTTAATCTTAAACAATTGCAAAATCATTAAATTCAAAATTTTCAAAATGTAGGCTTAAATCCCAGATGCGAAAAAAAACAATGTAAATACCTTTTAGCTAAAACCATTTGCAACCCCTTGTCCAATTTAACGGACCTCTCAATTTATTTGTAAAACCTTAAATTTAGGCTTAAATCTCGAACAACAATTACTTTTAGGCAAAACACAATGAAAACTTTTTTTTAAGGCTAAACCTTACTTTTAGGCTGAAGCCTTAGGAAATATACTTACAGGCAAAAAATTCCTGTAATATAACTTGAGGGGGCCGCGGTAGCCGAGCGGTTAAGGCGTCAGATTCTCGGCTAGTAGATCCCGCGGTCGTGGGTTCGATCCCCACCGTCGCCTCTGGACTTTTCTGACGCCTAAGGGGACCGGTGGCCGCAATTGAAAGAAATTGACACGGCCCTCATCAATGGAAAGGGCGGGATCGGATCTCAGCGACCCTGAATTTGGTCCCAACCCCCTTCAAAAATGAGTTTCTTCGATGAAAGAACACCAGTACAACGGGGGCTCAAGTTCACATTTGTGTTGCGAGCCCTCTCCCAAAATATGGAGCCAGGGATAAAGTACAATAAGCTGTACTACTGTACTACAGCTCAGCTGCAGTGCTCAGGAGGGAACTACTCCAGTCCTTGGTATAAAAAAAAAACACAGATAAAATTTGTTTTAATTAGATTTTTTATTAATATTTCAATATCGCGTATTTCCTCCTCTTGCCTTAATTACATCTCGAAAACGCCTGGGCATACTTTGTACCAGTCTGGAAATGTCTTTTTGCCGGAGGTTAGCCCATTCTTCACGAAGAGAACTTTCTAGGTCATCAAGTGTATCAGGAAGTGATGGATGTGCTCTTATTCGTCCTTTGAGGTTATCCGATGTTCGATGGGGTTCAAGTCTGGAGAACGGGCTGGCCACGCTAAGTCCCTGATGTTATGCTGTTGAAGGTACGTTTGTACTTTGCAAGCGATATGCCGACGGGCATTAGAATAGGATCGTCGCTGATTTCATCGAGGATAGGCAACGCATGATGTTCCAAAATTTCATCCACATAGCGAGTGGCCGTCAAAGACCCTCTAAGGACAACAACCATCTTTATGCGACTCTCCATTGAAATTCCCGCCCACTCCACCGCTGAGCTACGTTGAAAAGGCTCTGGGGCAAATTACAGGCTTCGTACCTTTCATTTCGCCTTCTCCGCACTATTTCACGCCCATCTGGAGATCGCAAATTTTCACTCATATGTAAAAAGTACAGCAGACCATTCGTCCAAAGAACAGTGGCTGTGTTCTTCAAATGCGAGCCGTACAACTCTGTGTGTTCGGGTCAATTCTGATCCTCTTACGATCCATCAGTCCATATCGATTTAATCTTCTTGGAGCAGTTCAGAAATTTGCACACCTCGAACTTCCTGGAGCTGATGAATCGCTTGAACAACAGTAAGGTGCCGGTTTTGCAAAATTCTCATATTCAAAAACGGTCATCTTGTGGTGGAACTCCGATTGCAATAGCCGCATAAATCACGGAACGTCCATCATCAATAAGTGCCACACCGCGCACAACATCCTCAGCACTGTGGCATTTTTAAAATGAAAAATTGAAATTAAAAAAACAAAGATGAAAACTAAACAGTTTCAAATGAGACTGATTAAACATTTTAAATACGGTAAAAAGTAAACATTGAAAAATCCTTTATCCATGTTTTGGATTATGGATTAAGTGTGTTTACCTCTAATTGATATTCCCAATTTAAAACATAGCCTACAAAAATATTTATTGATAAAAAAATGGGACAATTTTCTTTTGCCTGACAGTGTAACTAAGATAGACCCAAAAATATTAATAATTCAGATGCTCCTTATAAACGATAACGTTAGCGTATAAGAGATTGTCTAAACTTTGATATTTTCAGGATACCAACTAAACTAATTCAGTTCATATTGTAAAAAAAAATAGGAAAAACTATAACGATTTTCCTATGTGAAATACTCACGAATTTCAGCATATTGTCGACCTTTGGGAACAGAGTACTGCCCTGCCCCGCCCAGACTTCTTTTATACCCATTTTCTGGCCTCCCCCTGGGAAATTCTTTTTTTTTGGCTATTATGAGAAGATCTAGTTTAGGAATGAACCGGTCCACTATTAGGCCTGTCCTTGGGATGTAACTTAAAAATTCGACCTGAGATGACCTTTGGACTTATATTTTAAAATTATAGTCTTTAATAACTGCTCTAGCAAATTGAAGTAAATTGGCTTTAATATTTCGTTGTATAATTGCAAAGTAGTTTGTTGTACGACGTCTGTTCTTAATTTTTAATCTTTTTGTTATAGGCTTAAGGCTACGTTACCGCTAGCAAGTTGTTAAAGAAAGCGATTTAGTATGAAAATTGGCAATATTTCCATATGTTTTATTGTAATTTTTTTTATCTAGAGTAGTAGGTATAAGTTTTAAAATCGGTCATCTAGTCGGTTGAAGGAGGGGTGTAATTGAGGTATGGTATGTCCGTCGTCCGACCAGTAGTTATATGATGGCGCATGGCCGTCAGGACTATCCTATGGTCTTGAAGCGCCTTAAAGTGGGCGTGAGGCAGCTGCAGAAGAATGCCAAAGCGTGCGCGAAACTGGAGGTCACCGAACTGAAACGGACCAAGATAGCTAAGAAGAAAGGCTGTTTCGAGGTGGCCAAGACACATTCGGAAAATGCCAAGAAGCAGAAGACCCAGTCGTATAACTACCTACGGACCAGCTCGTATCTGGATTACGTCGTCTGCAAGCTCGAGGACGCGTTGCAGCGCGACAAAGACGAATTCATCTTCGACGTGATGCGCACCATCGACGAGGTGCTCAACACCAACGACCTCGCCAAGATCTTCAGGGTGGTACGCGGCTGCGAGGAGATTATGGAAGGCATGGCCAGATCGAGCCCGTTGGACAAGGTGCCGGACAGGACGCCGACCATCCTCCTGCAGAGTATGATTGACAAGGAAGACCTCACATTGCAGCTCCTGCACACACCCAGTTTTATTTCTGAATACGATAATTCCAACTCCAACGACCGGCTGCAGAAGGTTGACAAATAAACTAATAATCAAAATCATGTGGCTTTCGTTAAATAACTAATCGTCTTGTCAGCTGTTACTACATTGTAATTTGTCAAGTTGATAAAAAAAAATTTCTTCCCTTTTTATTGTTTTCATAATTAGACCTACAACTTTTATTCAATTAGAGATACAAATCTTTCTCAGGTTATTAAAAAGATCTATGATCGCCCGAATAATAGTTTTATATTAACTGAAAACTTAAATTTCTTAAATTAGCACACTAGTATTGGCATACTACCGTTCCTTGATTGATCGGTTCTGATATTTAAGGTTAAATACCAAGACCGTAGTAAAAAATTTACAATTTGAAGGGTGTATATACATGCAGTTCTAATTAATAATTTTTTAATAACAACTTTATTGTATTTTAGATTAGAGTTGTGGTCATAAAGAAGAGGGTATTGTAACTTTATTCGACCTTTATTTAGTCATCTTCAGGGCATTGTCACAAATAAGTTTACATTTTAAATTTTAGTAAGTTTTATTTATTCAACCATTGCAAAACATCTACAGACCATTTTGTAACATCTATTACTGTCTTAATTTACCTTCAAACCATTCCGAACGATCCTGAATCACCTCTAACCATCTCTTACAATCCTCATTCATCTTTAAACCATATTAAACCATCTCTAACCATCTTTTACTATCTTTATCCATCTTCGAACCAATACCATCTTGAATCACCTCCATCTCTTACTATCTTTGTCCATCTGCAAACCATTACCATCTTAAACCACCAATAACCAACTGTTACTATCTTCATCCATCTTCAAACCTTTAAACCATCTTAAACCATCTCGAAATATCTCTACCTCTATCCATCTTTAGCCATTCCAAAACAAATCTAGACCACCTCTTACCATCTTTCATTATCTTCATCCATCTTCGAACCATTACTATCTTAAACCACCTCTAACCATATCTTACTACCTTCATCCATCATCAAACCATTACCATCTTATACCACCTCTAACCATATCTTACTACCTTCATCCATCATCAAACCATTACCATCTTATACCACCTCTAACCATATCTTACTACCTTCATCCATCATCAAACCATTACCATCTTATACCACCTCTAACCATATCTTACTACGTTCATCCATCATCGAACCATTACCATCTTAAACCACCTCTAACCAACTCTTATTATCTTCATCCATCTTCAAACCATTAAACCATCTTAAACCATCTCAAAATATCTCTACCTCTATCCGTCTTTGGCCATTCCAAAACAAATCTAGACCACCTCTTACCATCTCCTACTATCTTCATCTATCTTCAAACCATTAAACCATTTCAAACCACGTCGAAATATCTCTAACTCTCTCCAGAAATCTGTAGCCATTCGAAAACATATTTCGACTACCTCTTACCATATCCTACTATCTTAATATTTAACCACCTGAAACTATCTCAAACCATCCCTAACCTTTTTTAGGTATTTCCAACCATTTTAAACCATTCCAAGTACTTTATCACTTTTCTAACTAGCTGTGCCCACGGCTTTTCGCCATTTTATATTTTGATTCGTTTCATTATTTTCAAATTTCGATAATGAATAAACACAATCACAGTGGGCCTGTTCTGTTACAGATCTTTAACTAGGCATCTATTTATTTTTTAAATATTTATTTATTCCTATATTTTATATAATATTTTATTTATTGTTCCTGTTAGTTGTTAAAATTACTTTTTAATTATCTATTCCTTTATATATTTATTAATACTAAAATAATAACAATCCACGCCATCTTTTACTTTTTCAACCAACTCTGTCTACCCAGCGAGATCATGAATTGCAATCAGTCGTTTGTAGTTATCATGGCCGACCAATCATCGCTGATGTAGTGTGTCTTCAGTGGTGGAATCCACAGATTTTCAATAAATGAACCATCAGGAATGAAGGTTAAGTGCAATAGAGGTAACAAATCTTTAGATGTGTGTGCCAATAGCGTCTCGAATAATCAAAGGTGATTTTATTGATAGTGTCGAGTTCAGTACAAATACCATTACACCGATAAAACTGCATAGTCAGAAAATGGCTTTGTTCTAAACTGCTCTCTAACGATGTGTATTTTTAGAGGACGACGTGCATTTCAAGCGTTTGTAAATGGCCCATTGGGCAAACTAATTTCCCTTTCGGTTTCCTCCTTACCCGGCCAGCATACGAATGCCGTCTTGCACAAACCGGAATCCTCCGGCGATCGCTTTCTGTCACTGTTACGTGACTGTTCCCGGAATCCGAATCGGGTTACGTTATGTGTGTCAGGCCCGTTTGGCGTTCAGGACGGCCGAGACCTTGCCCCGGGACTCTTCGGGACACGGCACCCTTTCGATTTCGTTCGCGAGGCGAGCTAGAGATCAACTCAAAAGAAGAAGAAATTACGTTTTTACCCCAGATAATATTGCAGATATGTAAAAATTTTTCTTCAAGTTTATTCAAACAACATTAACTTTAACGAATATATTGCTGAGAAGTCTATTTACCCTTCAGCAATTTGTTGGACATGATTCGTTCCTGATGGGCTAATTGGGCCAAGTCGTCGAAGGCCTCCTCTGCATATTTCCCTATCCGTGCTGTTGTTCCTCATGGAAGCGTTCTGGCTCCCACACTATATCAGGTGTACACAGCTGACATGCCATCACATCCCGAAACCACCACACATATTTGCACAAGATACATCAATACAGCTCTAGCAACTCCGACCTTGTCATTTCCACTCGAAACCTCCAACAACACCTCGCACTCCTAGAGTCTTGGTGTAAAAAGAAAAGGATAAAATTTAACACAGACGCATTACCTACACTCTCCGTAAAAAGACCTCCCCCTTGTTTTTTTAAATAATATTCCCCTCCCAACTGCGGAGAAGGTACGGTACTCGGACTGTACATCGACAAACGCCTGATGTAGAATCCTCACGACCGAAACGTCAGGCGGTTATGACACGATGTAGATCTCTTGCACGACTTCTTGACAAACATTCTAATTTACCTCTCAAAAATAAAAGGCTGCTTTACAACACCATAGTTAAGCCGGTATGAACTTACGGACTAGAAATGAAGGTTTGAGACCAATTCAACACCACCACATTCAAACTGCCCCGTCCTTAATCCTACGAAAAATACCAGATGCTCCGTTTTATGTACCGAACCTAACAAAACATACATCCTTTCGTTCAAGTTGAAATCCGTTTCCGTTACAGCAAATTTCACATAACCCTCCCAACACCGTAAATCAGTATTTCAGAAACCTCGCATCCCGATGAATCCCCTCGAACCCTCCTCGCCGGCTGAAGAGACAATTGCGCGTGATCACCGAGGATGTCATGGTGATGATAGTGAAAGTGATAATGACACAAGTATCAATTAAACAGACAATACTTCAGTATGATTGGAGTACATGTAGATGTATTAGCCGGGGTGAATATACCGCGCCCTTTAAGAGCTAGAGTACACCCTGTTCTGTGCCTATAGCACAGGTGAGTCCTAGTTCATCAAGGAACTAGATTATGAGGCGCGGTTTTAGTGGTTGAAGTTCTTCTACGGTCATTGAACGTCCCAAAACACTTCCTCCTGCGGGCACCACAGGTTGGTTTGTGTTGGTGCTCCTCTGCTTCTTTTCAGAATCTGCATGTGCCGTATTAGGTTATACCAATCTTCTTTAAATGTCAATTTAGTTTGCAGTGTCCTGTTAACAATCCTGTTATGATTCACAGCTTTTTCCTTCTTCCTTTGATACATACTATTATTTCTTTCGTACCTTTGTTAGGAAGTTCTTGGATTGTTTGTGTCCAATGAGTGAATTCAATTCTTTGCTCATTTTCTTTTTATCCTTTTGTCTGAGGTATTCATTGATAGAGTGGGTTCCTATGCCACAGAAGGGTTCTTGTCTTAGGGAAGCAGTATAGCAGCTCCTTTTCTTGCAGGAGTGTCCGCTTTCTCGTTGCCTTGTACTCCCATAATGTCCTGGGACTCAGCAGAAGCTGACTGTTCTGCGTACCTGATATGTTTAATTTGGTTTTGCAGTTCAACACCATCTTTGAACTAATGTTTGAGCTTAGTGCTTTGATGACTGCTTGGGTATCTGACCTGATAGCTATGTTCTTGTTTTTGTACCCTTAATTCAAGTTGAATTGAGTATATCTCTCGATTGCATAGACCTCAGCTTAGACGATACTGGTGTCCTTTCCCATTGGTTCTTAGTATTTGGTTCCAGGACCGAATACTCCCCTACCCCTGTACATTCTTGTATTCTAGATCCATCTGTGTACCAAATGATGGTGCCTTAGTAGAGTCACTCGAGGGCCAGTGCACCAGATCCTGTCTGCATAGACGGGAGAGGGTGTATGGCCTCTGTACCACGGGGTAACTTAAATGTTTCAAAATCAGCCCAAAGTTACACTGGGAATGGTTTCGTGGTGGTGCGTGGTGACGCCCCTGGAGGGGAAATTAGACAAAGGCTGTCTTCTACTTGTGTGAGAAGCTTGCCATCGTAATACACCCGGCCTCAAGGGATACGGCGGACCGGACGACAGCGTATAGGCGTTGAGGACGCGATGATTATGCTGAATAGTCCCTCGAATGCGTGATTAAGCGGATGGAAACGGGTAGTGAATCGGTTTCTCTGACTCGAGTCTCCTTTGCATTGTTGTGCGTATGACCGTCGTGGTACCCTTGGAGAAGCGAAGGATCGGACCACCTAGGCTGAGCCTACGGCGTCCCTCGAATGCGCAAAGCAGGTGTAGGCTTAGCTCGACAGGAGGTTTTACCGAAGGCGGTGCTCTTCTAGGGGGTGGTTAGCAATTCCACTTAAAACAAAACCGCGACCGGGGCGGATCCGGTAGTTTCTACGCTAGGGAAGCCCCTATCCTCTGGGAGATAGAGTGGCCTTCTCTATCTAGGGAGTGCGCGGGAGAACAGGCTGATGAATTTCGGCTTGTTAGCCCTTTGCGCGCGGCATACGACCCG